GCTTCCAGACTGCAGGTAGCCCCAGGATTCATGTTAATGAAAGCTGGAAGCAAATGCACGAGATAAAAAGACCTAAGAACAGACTCTGAGGAAGGTTCCTGCACATCTCAAGGTGTCTACAATAAAAACTAAAACCAGAGTTATTTATATCTAAAACATGTATCATATAAAAGCCCCATAATAGCTCTGATGAATAATCCTTGTCGTTTAGGTTGCCAAAAAAACTGATGTAAATCATTTTAGCCTCACTAGCTTCAAAGGATCTGTGAATATTTACATCTGTAAGTATGTTGCTCGGAGCAGGGTTTGCATTTTGGTAAAACAGATTGATAAGAAAAGTAGTATTTTCTCATCATGTTTAAAAAAGCAAAATCCTTAAAGCAATGCATTATTTTGAGCCTCAATTTTTGATTCCTCTAGCGTGCCACAAGCTCCGCTTTTCTGCTTGGCAAGATAAAGAATGCTTTCATTAACAAAAATCAAGGTACGTCTGGCATTTAGCAATGCTAACTGGTAAATATTGGCTATAGAAAGGTTGCCACCCTTTACCTCCCTACAAAGCCAACCATGGCACTACACAAGTCCTTTCTTAATAAAAAGCTGTAACGGGAGAGAACAAACATGACAGTTTTTGATAAACTGAAGTCAAGTATATTTCAATTAAGAGGAGTCAAACCTGAGGGCCCGTTTGCAAAGACCTGACAGGGTTTTTACGTCCACACACGTCTGTGTGCACCTGTGTATACATTCACAAGCCTCGAAAGAGTTGTAGCCTACGTAAGACAGGCCCAGTCAGCCTATCAAGGGAGCAAAATTGGCTAAGCACACAGTTCTGGCAGCTGTAACTCACTGCTAAATATTTGGGGCTGACAATATAGAGCACTTTCAATCCAAGGGCCTGGAGTCCTATTACCTTATAAATCAGACCTCCCCAAATTGCTGCAAGGCTGGGCAGTAATGTCCCCTTGGCGTCCCCACCACCCCTCCTTCTTTCAGTCAATGGTAAACTGACCTCACAGCAAACATGTTTCATGGGGCTCCCCAATGCTGACCTGTTTCCTTTCTGGAGAAGCTTCCTACCACAAGCACACTGTGAGATGTTACAGATGTGCTGCACACACCCTGCACATCTCTTGTATCCTACAAAATAGCCCAGGGGAGAAATGCACAATCCCCCAGGCCCTCTCACCCTCCTTCCTTCGCCACTAAAGCATTCCTGTTCTACCCCATCTCCTTTACGTAGCTTTCAGTGTTGACTCAACTTGGATCTGGATTTCTATTCCTTATTAATCCAGAACCTACCGAGAAGCAAGAGCATTCAGGGGATGCTGGAAGTTGGTTTGCTTTTTGTTTAATCCCTGGTGCATTAGGGACTTCCCACAGCCTCCTGCCAGGGCAGGAGGAAGCAAAGGTGGTTGCTCCCGGACATCCTGTGCTTTGACCCACTTCACTTGCTTTCCAGCTGCCAGCATCAGCCATGAAAGCTGCTCTCCATGTCAGGAAGGACTGAACCTGCTCTAGCCACCATTATAACTGTATTCACAAAATTTGCAATTCTGATCCACTGCTTCTGATCCATCCAGCTGCATTTGATAGTATCTTAACGTTCCTCGGGGACTGAACAAGCAGGAGAGTGGCCTAAAGCACTTTCAAAAACACTCCGATAAAGAAACTGACGACAAAAACAATGAATTCTGTCTTATCGCTAAACACAGTGAAACCACAAAATTGCTACGCAACTAACTTGCCCACGGTTTGCTTCTTTTTATAGTTTCTCAGCTACCTCCAGTAGCCGCTCCTCTTACACTCATCTTACATCCTTGCTTTTACAGTTACCAGCCTATAAAACATTACCCTGCATCAAAGAAGTGAACTTTGACAGCTGTATTTAAGCTCCCAAGTCTTCCCACAATGTGATGGATCATTACCCCAGCTCTGAGCTTTAAATCACCACACATGATTCCTACGAGACCAGCCTGGGTCCCTCCCAAGGTCACACTTGTCTTCCAGGTCTCCAGCATCTTCCTGCCACATAGACACAAGGAATCGCTTAGGAGCTGCACATTTTAAGGGGCATTTAGGTTCATCCCCAAAATATTACAGCATAACTTAACCAACTATAAACACTAAATATGGGCTGCTAATTGACAGGTACAACATTTACTGAGGCTATGTAGCAGCAAAGAGCCTAGCAGATTTGTTTATATGCAGCTGTAAGAAAGCCAAGGGCACAGGAGAGACTCATGGAGGGCGAAGAGATGAAAGCAAGCCCGAAAGGGCCTGACACTTGCACAAACTGGTAGCACAGCAAACCGACTGCTGGGTTCATCCGACAAGAGCTACCTATCCCAGCTTGTTTCACAGTTCAGTAGGGCCCAGGGTTAAAGCAGAAGGGAAACACGCAGCTCATGGCAGGGGGGGTTCCCCGGGGGCAGAGGATGCACCAGCTGCGCAGCTGCTGCTGCTCAGAAGGGCTCCTGCCCCAGTTTCTGCGAGTCATCCGTTGGCCAAGGGAGCAGCCGGAGACACAGAGACTCACATCAAGCTCACACTGAACTCTCCTGCCCTAACCTTTGCCTGCTGCAACTTCAAACAAACATTCAAAAGGGAGAAGAGACTTTCTTGGCTTCAGCATTTCAACTTCTGTAACTCTTCAACCTGCTTCCCAGGGCAGGGAGTAGGAAGGAGCTAAAGGGAGTAGAAGGGGCGTTAGGGCAAGATGTCCCCAAGCCATGCGGCTGCGTGGGTCACGGAGCTGCTTCTCCAAAACCCTTCCTCCCATTGACATCCACCACCAAGCCCACTGCAACTGGCTGGGATGGTTTCGAAGCGACTGCAGCAGCCTCAGAGGTGCGAGGAGCCTGACAGTGCTGGATATTTGCTTAGCCAGCAAGCGCCGCATGGGCCACGGTGATGGAGTGGCTCTCCCCACGGACACGCTGCCCTGCCAATGCACCTCGTCCTGGCCAGGAGGGGACAGCTCATCCGGCAATGCTGAAAGCCTTGGCTCGCTTTTTGAAGCTTGGAAGCAGGTTGCAACTTCTGACATGAAGCTGTGGAAACTGTTTTCAAAAGGTTCCTACTACAACTGGATCTCAAATGCCTAAGTGACAGGTCATGTTTTGAAAACAGAGCTTTAAGGAAGACTTGAGGCTCCCAAGTTTCCTTATTCCTTGCTTTCTATTTTCTCTCCTTTAAATGGGGCTCACATAATTTAAAAAATTTTATTCACTGTCTGTTAAGAGGCAGAATGAAACCACTTATTCATTTAACAGTGGTTAACACACAGAAGTTATAGGGACAAGCTTTTATTAAGGCCCCTTGTTTTTATAAAGAAAGGGATGATCAGGACATGCTATTTGGGCTCTAGCTATTAAAATTTCTCCACATTCACATGTCAGAAAAATGCAATTAATATTGACATATACAGAGGTCATACCTCTGAGAAAGACAGCAAGCAGAGAGGAGGAAGAGAAACAATTTTGTTAGATGCCATTGTCTCCTAAAGTGCTCCATGAGAGATGCACTAGAAGTGGACACAGGATAGTTCGAAATTTCCACTGACTTAAATAAGCTTTCATGCTTTGCAAAGCCACCTTATATGCGTTTCACATTAGAAACTTGTACTTATTGCTCACGTTCAAATATATTTTCTGAATTTACTAATTTACTTCTCAGACTGAGGGCTCAAAACATTAATATAACGCTAGCATGAAGCAGCTACAGATCAACAGTTTTGTTGTTTTTTGTATGTATTGACTTTCCTATAAAAACTCAGATCATCTTTGTTTATGACATGTCGTCTTTAAACTTCTTCTAAACTTCTTCTAAACAGTTTTTAAACTGGCCAGAGCCTTCAAATCACTGAAGGTCTGGATCGTTTTTAAGTTAACATGCTCTTTCACAAAGGTTTTACAGACTGTAAATTTCAAAGCTGGTCCACAAGCATCTTCCCTTCCCTGCTGCACCATGAAATCAAACTTGGCTCACTGATGGGAAGAGCAGGTTTTCTCAGCTATGTCTCCTTTGGACCACACTTTTTTGTTTGTTTGTTTTGGCTTCAGCCTCTCTTCCATATTTTATATTTTAAAAGACCAGCAACATAATGCACTAGCACTGGGGATTGCCAATTCGGGACACACACCTTCGTTCAACCCAATTTTGTGGCATGACGTATGCTCATACTGCTATATTACCAGCTTTGTTATCTTAAAAACCAGACCAGCTGTTGCAGCAAGTCCCCAGTCTAGCAGGGCAGTGTTCATCTGGTTATACCATCAGTGTCTTTGGAGAGACTGGCAGACAGCTTTTCTGCTCATAGATGTGGACTGAAATCCAGTCAAGACTCGGGTAGTGTTTTTTTTTTTTTTTTTAAACACGTGCATGCAGCAATGCTGAAATTCCAGCCGGGCAACAAACCCCCAGATCTCCATTAGGATGGAGAAAGAGGCAATAAAAGCCCCCGTCCCACTGCTGTCCTGAACATTAACAAATCGTCCATCCCATCAGTGCAGAGAAAAATTCGCAATAACTTCCACGGAGTCTCTGAATATTTTCCAAACAAGCTTTGCAGCACAAACTAATAAATGGACGATAGTCTTGTTCTGCCTCCTTTTCCCTTCAAAAAGGAGGCTTCTGATTTCCACTTTACTATAAGCTTTAACATCCCGTCACGCTCAGACAACGCTAAACGTGAAGTCTCCAAGGATGAAGCAACCATCCCCTCTGATGTCTCCCACCACAGCATTGTAACATCACTGGTCATTTCAAGTAAAAGAAACCCACAAACCAGTACTGATGAGCCTGATAACTAAGCAGTTTTTACCCTTCACCACAGACGTAACGTGACAAAGGCCCCTCACCATTAATACTGAGTGCCAGGGTACTAAAACACGGGGAGCTGCTTGTGGAAAACCCTTGATTTCCCAGTGAATGCACAAGGGTTCTTGGACACATCCCACACATCATCCCAACCTCTAGAGAACCCCGAGGAAACCTACCTGGGCAGAGTGGTCACACACATCGGACATCCCGCCATCTGACAGCCGGCACCAGTGCTGTCCCCCGACACAGCGTGGCGGCTCCTCCGCACTGCTCTCTGCCTCGGACGACTCCAGTTGCGGAGCCTCCACCTCCATGGGGCTGCAGTGCCCGTTGCCCGGCTCTGAGGGGGGCTTCTCCTTGCTCTCCTTGCCGCCCGGTGCTCTGGTGATGACACCGAACTTCCTTGTCCTTTTCCCATTCTGGGCAGCTCTGTCGCTCGGCTCGGGGCCCGGCTTTGACCTGGGCTCGCCGCCGTTGCCGTTGTGAAGCCGCCATTCCAGCACTGCTCAGCCAAGTAGCTGCAGGGGAAGGGACAAGCGCGTGTTAGCACCACAACACCCGTGCTGCAACCCGTTGAGACGCGCCACCAGCACCCTCTGAGCACCCCAACCAACTGGTTTCTGATATATATTAACACACCTGGCAGCAACATCGGCAAATGCTCATTTTGTTTGGTATCAGATAGTCCAAGCAGCACAGAGGAGCTCTAAATGACTGCGGACACTGCTGGGCTAGCAGCCCTCGACATCTGGCACGTTCGTATGGGCATTACATGACTCTGGCACATACCATCAAACTGGTTTCCACCACCCTGACCTCAAGGCACGTGTCACAGCAATGCCAAAAAGTGGGTGACGCAAAGCCAAGAGGGATTCCAGGCAGAGAATAAGCAGAGGTTTAGAAAGGTAAATTCAGACAAGCTTCATTTGTGCAGCAGCCCATAGAGTATTTGCATCTGAAATGAGCCTTCTTAGTGAAACTAATCTTCTGCTCCGGCACATGTATGTGCTTGGAGGCCTCAGGGAAAAAAATCAGCCACTGAGGTAAGCTCCAACACACTCGGCCTGGCAAAGCACGGCCCTGCTGACTACAGCTCCCATAAATAGGCATGGAAATAGGCTGGGTTTCCTCCAGCATTAACACGCTGCACTTGGAGCAAGAGCTAAGTCACCCCAGCTTCGCAAGGAGCAGGCCCAAGGTTGCCAGCGTGCAGCAAACTGGTACCTCCCCTCCCACGGGCTTTGAGGAAGCCTTGAAGGAATCGACATTTCTGTTGCAAGCAAATACTTGGTGACCTTAAAGAAACTGCACCCACTGATGCAAAAGGGCAATCTACCTCCACGTCTTTTTTGGGACTGCATATACCTCAACCCAAATTCTTGAAATACCTGGGTGCTGCGCCAAGGGTGGAGCCCACTGGGAGTACAAACAAGATGGAATTTGTACTTAGTAGGTTTGTATGTGCCCTTTCACACCGATTTAGGCCCCAGAAATACCTTGCCTTTCTCACTAGCGAAAGCAGCAAGAATTTCTAAGATCACCAAGGAGGTGTCTGCTGCGGCTGCAGTGAGCATTTCATTAATACAGAGCAGCTGACAGCTCTACAGCTATCACAGATGGGAAAAAAAAGGTGCAGAGTTAAATTGTAAGGGACTCTAAGAGAAAATAATAGAGCAGCTTTGGCTGAAAGAGGAGGAGAGTCTAAGAGGTCTTCCAGATTTTTGTTTTCCTGCCTTGAGCTTCTGGGTTAATTTTCACCTCTCCTTTCCTAAAAGTTGTTTGGCCTCAAATACAACCCTTGAAAATAATTCCTGCGTAGAGGTGACTTATGACAAAACAGGAAAAGCAGCTCTGAAAACCCCTGAAGCAAACTTCATCACAGTGGAGTGAAGAAAACAGTCTCAACTACTCAGAGTAATCTGGACCAGCCTGGGAGTGACTGAAAATAATCCACAATGGGTGTGTTTTAATCCATAGACGTTAGCTAGTAGTTGCAGTCCAGTTTTTCCCAAAGCTTTGGTGTCCCCAGCAGACCACTTTATAAGCAGTTTACATCTGATTAGGAAGACCAATGCCTAAATGAATATAACAACTACACAGCCTTCAAAACAGCCCTGGAGCAACTGGACTTGAAGGACAAACATGCTCGCTGTGCCAAATCTCCCTGGTGAATACAAGCTGGATTTCAACTTCCAGGACAACCTCCTCAGCAGTTTTCACTAGGCAAGACTTTTTTTTTTTAATCATTAAGAATATTTGAATAAAAAACAAGACCATCTAAAAATAGACAAGGAGCCCTGATAGTTAGAAAGTCCCTGCAGCCATGGTCAGATATGTGAGTGGCCATGAAGTGACATATTGCTCAGCGAAGCACTGAGGAAAGGCAGGACCTGAAGGGTTAGCTGAAAAAAAAAATCCAGAACCAAAACGGAAATATTTTTGATTATCAAGTCAAAATAAAAAAAAAACCCAAAAACTTCTAATCAACAGAAACGGGGCAGTTTTGTTCCAGAAACAATATGGGACGCCTGTTTTTCACATTTATCTTTCAACTCAGATTTCAAGGCAGCCAGTAAAGTTGATTAAAATTCATGACTTTTGCTCGAAGCAATATCACTGCACTCTGATCCATCACACACAAGCCTGATAGCATTGCTTCTCCTGGCACACGAAAAGGGAAAAGCAACTCCTTTTCCAATAGCCCTGTGGTTCACATTGCTGCTATGCACCCTGTGCTTGTGCAGGCAGTTTTGCCTAACTTGTTTTTGTGCAAGTGCAGGTATGCAGGATTTTATTATTATTATTTAAAAACAGATCTCTCTCTCTCTGAACTAATCACTGATGTACTTTATAGTGGCAGTATTCAAGTGCATACATTCGTCAAATATTTGATTTAGCAACTATGTGAAATGAAAGAGGAGTAAGTTACTGAATGACCCAAGTAAAGCCATCTTGGGAAACACAATACTACTTTAACTCCTATCTTAGCACATTTATTCTGTTTAAAAATGTAAAGTTATTGAAAGGGAAGATAACAGCTCTTTTCTTCTATTCACTGGCCACAGATTATGAAGCTCAAAGTCTGGAGCAGGTATCACAGCCAGCAGTAATAGCTGCAGCTGTACCGAAGGCAGTGGAGCCATGCTGATTTACTCCATATGTTTAGATGGCCTACAAGTTCCAGGCGTGCAGCCTGTAGTAACTCATCTTTTTATGTCTTCCCAAGTACTCCAACGCTGTTCAAAGCACACAATAATTTTCCATGGGGGAAAAAAAAGAAAAAAAAAAGTAAAAAAAAAAGGCATCTTCTGGGTCAGGGAGCAACTATCTTTGCATGGCAATAAATGCTCACATAACTCAGCTGATGTCAGGTATTTCAGGACAGGGTAGATCCAGCTGCTGCAGGGATGGGTATCAGCACGCATGTGATAATGTGATAATGATGCAGTGGCATCATTACCTCAGAGTTTGTTTTGAACCAAGGAGCAGGCATCCCATGTTGGAAGACCAACACTGGTACACCACCAAACTCGCATCACAAGACAGGGAACTCATACAGCAAGCATTTATGGCCATTTGCTCCCTCCCTTCCCTGGACAGTGCTGTTAACCAAGGAAATGAAGCCACTTAAATTGTACTAAAAATGTGCTGCCTACTTTGCAGGATTACCTTTCCTTTGCATTTTTTTTTCTTATTTAAGAAAGAAGGGAAACTCCCCCTTTTTTCATACTTAGGAAAGAAGCCAAAAAAACCCTTAGGCCTAGCAGGCTTTAAGCACAAGACAAAAGACAGGAAAGGTTGCATTAGATGAGTGAGAATCCACAGATTTTTCATTACTTTCTATCAATCCAGGAGCATCTTATGCCAGAAGGCAAGAAAGAGATGGATTCAATAAAGCATATTTGTACAGCCTCTAGACTGCAAAAAACTGTGTGAAAGCTAGACAAGGCCCCCAAATTCCACTTCTCAGAGTTTTAAATGTGTGCATGGCAGACATTTTTTTTTCCCTGGATTTGGCTCCTACAGAGCGTTCAGAGACATACGAAATCAATACACCACATGGGTGACCAAGATCAGAGCCGATACTGACTTACAGCATCGGCTCCTACCGGAAGCCATTAGTTCCTCTGAACATTGTCCTCAGCTGAGGAGGAGAAGGTGAATGGAGCAGAAGTATCCCTCATGCAGCTTTGACTGATCCACTTTATTGCAAACTGAGACTGCAAGTCACAACTGCTTTTTAACCACCTCCTCTCCCCCTCTTTGGCTGGTAGGGGACGGAGTAAGATTCAGGGAAAGCCCTAGGCCTCACAAATCAACTAAAAAGCCGGGAAAGCTACTCCTAATACAGGCAAATGACACATTTTACAAATCCTGCTATTTTTGCTTTTAAGGATGCAAGAGATTTCACCAACTTACAATCTATTGAGATGATTTAGCAATAGAACCCTTTACCAGCAAACTACCTGCTTGTGTTTCCTGTATTGCCAGTTCGCAGGATGGTGTCAAACCCTTTCAGCACAGTGGGGCAAGCTGATTTCCCTGTCCTCAAGAGATGCTAAGCAAACACCAAGGAGTATTTTCGTATTAGGAAAACCCTCCCCCGACAGAGGATTCATGACAGCCTCACAATTGCTTTCCAAAGGTGCTGCATCCCCCTCTAACAGGAGTGGTGGCAGAAACGCTGATTCCTGACAGTCCCAGGCCAGGCTGGACACAGTTGAATCTGGAACTCTGGAAAAAAGCCCCATAAGAACTGAAACACAGAGAAACCCAATCAAAATTCAGATTGAGTTGGGTCCACTACTACCAAAACTACAAAAGAGCACAAAACCCACCAGGGGGATGGACACCAAGATGTCACAGAATCACAGAATGGTTAAGGTTGACAGGGACCTCTAGAGATCATCTAGTCCAACCCCCCTGCATACGCGGGGACACCTAGAGCACGTGGCACAGGGTGGTGTGCAGGTGGGTTTTGAAGATCCCCAGAGAAGGAGACTCCACAACCTCCCTGGGCAGCCTGTTCCAGGGCTCTGTCACCCTCACAGGGAAGAAGTTCTTCCTCATATGGAGATTAAACTTCTATGTTTGAACTCACACCCGTTACCCCTCGTCCTGTCACTAGCCACCACAGGCAAAAGCCTGGCCCCATCCTCCCTACAGTCACTCCTCAGGTACTTGAACATGTTCATCAAATCTCCTCTCAGCCTTCTTTTCTAAGAGAAGAGAATGGAAGGAAAGAGATGTCCCTGGAAGGGATGACAAACATTAGGCTTCCGTATCTCAGAGGCAGCTCCCTAGGCAAGCTCCAAAACGTCCCTGAAATACTGACTTTGAAAGATTTTCCATTTCCATGCTCAGACAAAATGACCACCCAGCTTTTTTTACTGCTTTGATCTCACTCTAGCATTAGCTACAGTAAAGTATCAGCCTATACAACATATCAGTCTTAAGCAGCAGGGCAGACCTGTTCTCCTCTGTAGGAAGGAATCCATGAAAATTCTAAGTATTTTTA